TTGAATCCGATAATTTTGTAAATTTAAAATTCGATTTGATCCGAATCTGATCAGATTAAAAATTTTGAAATTTGATCCGATTGATTCATATCTGATTTACGGATCAATTGGATTTGGATCAAAATTGTAAACACTAGTTTAAGGAAAGTGGCAAGACTTTATTAACTTAGAAGTATAAAAACTTCTTGCAATTGTCTTTTTTGTGTGTGATTAAAAGATCAGTGAAAAGAGTGCTATAGATAATTGCCAATAATGTATAAATACAATATATATTAGTTGTTATGTAAAAATCAATATAATATTAGAATGTTCTATTAATATCTCAATAAAATATACTTCAATGAAAATAATTAAATAATTTATATAAAAAATATAAAATATTAATATTTTAATTATTCATTTAATTAAAATTTTTTAATTAGATTATTTAATAAATAATTAATATTATATTATCTATATTTTTTACGAATAATAAAGCAAGCCTTAAATAAATATATGATTTATAAATTTAAGTATAATAATAACAATAAACAAATACAATTATCAAATAAAAATAAAATAACAATATATAAAAATTAAATTATTTTTCAAAGAATAGGTATGAGAAATCATTCATAAAAATTTCATCAAACGATTAATTCCACGCAAATATGAAAAAGCTTATTAGCACGTAGCCGTTCTTTCATTATCTCAACCTGAGAATTCGAAATGTTATTAGGTAATTACAGTGATGTTAGTAATATCATTAAATATCCAACATCTTTTCTAGCTCTCTAACCAGATCAACCATGTTATTCCTATTCTGATAAGTAACTTCCCAGACTTTGACATTTTCTTCGAATCTACTAGCTTCTCTGATTTCTCTAGCTAGTCCACCATTGAATTTTAACGCCACAGTACCAAGTATGCAACAATTTTTCTTTTTATTATCAGTATTTATGTTTTCACAAGACACCTTTTCAAATATCAGGTCTCTTATGATATCTTCGAAATCCTTTGAAAAACTTTCCATCTTGCCTATTTCATCAACTACTAAGAGAACCTTTTTGTTTCTATATCCAAATTCAGTCGTTTCGTCTTTCGCACCGTCAAACGCGTTAAAATCGAATTGAACAGTTGGAATGGCCAACTTCTCAAACTCCTCTACATCCACTAAATAATCACCGACGGTAAATCGCGTCGAAATATTGACTCCATCTGGTTGATTACCTACTTTCCTTGCTAAGATACCTCGATTCCCATCCAAAGATATGACATCAAAACCAATTCTCGTTTTAGTGATGGGAGAGATTACTTGTTCCGTGTAAAACCCGCGAAGAGAGATTTCGGGATGATTTTCTTGAAAATATGAAACTAATTTAGTAATCAATGTGGTTTTACCAACGCGAGGTAGACCCGTTAGGAATAGCGACTGCATGAGTAATGTGAGAGAACAATTTGTAAAAGGATTTGATGATCAGCGGAATTTTGAGATGATTGCTCAAAAAAATTACGCATCTGACAAGACGTATTTTTTCTAAAGATGCATGGTTATAATCTTGAAACTAGTAATTAATCTATCTATCTTAAAGTGTAATAGACTCTAAGTATGAAAATTTTTTATGCAAATAAACATTTTTCTCTTTATTAATTGATTCGATATAGTTATTCCCTCGATCATAACTTATTCTTTCCATACATTCATGACAATGTACAGTATATTTTATGAAGCGATAGAAAAAAGTTTTCTTGGTTTTACTATATAATAAAACATTAAAGATTTAAATATAATTAATTATAAAACTAACTATTAGGTAACTTGCTAGTAAGGGAATATTAGTTGAATCTAAATATGATTACGAATCTAGAATAATTATTACTTAGAAATACTAGAATAAAAAAATTCGAATTACAATTTACTATATTAACTTTTTAATATATTAGCACTTTCTTATATTTTTTAAGTAGTTTTAATCCTTTAATTGACAATATACAAATATGAATTGATTGTCATATAGAATATCAATGCAATATTGATTTGATTTCA